AACCGACCAATCACAGACAAATCTTAGACGAACGTCTCCGTCAACAAACAAAAAACTAAACACACAAAATCTGTAAAATCACAGCTTCAAACCTTATTTTCCATTTTTCAATCCTTAACGAACAAAATCTTTCTTTCAATTAACAGCAAATAATTATACGTGTTGCTGATTTAAAGGTCGAAAAATAAAAAGTGTAATTTAACAGTCAGATGCAAAAACAACAAACAAACAAATTCTATCAGATTTTTTTTTTTTAAATATAGTTTTTCTGTCATTTAACTCTATATTATCAGGACTTTGAATCAATAAAGTAACAGTAAATAGTTCCAGTTTAAAGACTCATAAAGCCAATTAAAGTGTGTTTTACTGTGTAGAGACCCAACACACATGGATGGAAACACAATGAGATGAAAATAAAAACAGAATCAAAATCATCTGTTCACACAAAATCATCTGATTCCACATTATTTACTGTTTTTATGGATTATACATAAATTATGACTTTTTGCTGTGATTTTACTGAAACCTGTTCAACAGTCAATCCTTAATATTCAGAACGTTTCTATCAAATAACATCAAATATCAGCAAAACAATTCATGATTTTCTTTTTTCCAGTGAACATGTGAATGAAAACGTTCTTTCTGTGTTCTCAGTAGATCTTATCAGGAATATAAATCTGTAGAATAACAGCTGATTGATTAAAACAACAGACAGTTAAAACAAGTCGTGGTGTTTTACTGGTACAATGAGACTGAACCAGCTGGAAACTCAAACATCTGAACCAGCTGCTCTTTAAACACTTCAGTCTATTCAGCTTTAATCAACTCTGCAGTGTCTCCAGAACCATAAGGAAGCCAAACTCCAGCATGTAGCGGCTGAGTGAACGAGGTCTGGACTCTGTGGAGGAGAGTCATGGTGTCAGAGACTCTGTAGAAGGACAGAACACCTGCTCTGTGATCCAGGTAAACTCCTACTCTGGAGGGAGGACGATCTGAGACGAGAGTTTGAGTTTTGTTGTGCCAAAATACACAACTGTTGGTGGAACAATATAAAGACCAGGATTTGTCATTATATCCAAATCCACATTCATACGTGCTCCCTGTTCTGCTGATGTTCTTGTATGAAACTGCTACATCAACTCCTCCTCCTCTCCACTCCACCTCCCAGTAACAACGTCCAGTCAGACTCTCTTTACTCAGAACCTGATAACGTTCAATGAATCTGTCTGGATGATCAGGATGATGCTGTTGTTGATCCGTTAATGTCACTTTTCTGTTCCCATCAGATAATAACAACTTTCTGTTTGCTGTGTTTGGATCCAGAGTGATTTCTCGTGAACATCTTAAGAACCCAGCTCTGGTCTTTGGTTCTGGTTCTGGTTTTGGTTCTGACAGTAGAACATCCACGTCAGTGATGGCCAGTGAGATGTTTGTCCATGCGTCCCTCAGAACGTCCTGGAGTCCATCTCTGAGCTCTTCCACAGCTGCTGTCACGTCNCCGCTGTATAAAATCAAACCTTTATTATCTCCCTCTCTGAACCGTTGGGGTCCAAATGGACGATGACCCAGGTCAGGAATCAGAACTACTTTATGGACCCCCTACAGGGGAAACTGCTTCCAGCTACAGATGCTCCAATCAGAAGCCTTAAAGAAGTAGGAAGTAAAAATATATCATAAAATATAAGAACTAGTGAACTAGAACAAAAGATGAATCTGCATTCTGCTCCTGTATGTGTCTACACAGTGTAATGATATAAAATACTGACGTCTGGATTAGTGAAAAAAGTCAATAAATACGTAAAATAAGAAGTAAAATCAGGAGAAAACGACAACAGGCTGCTTCATCACACAGGTTAAAGGCAACGCCACCAAACACTGAGGACATGGATGTAAACTTGTGACTCTGAAGAAAGTCATTAAATCTTCTCTCTGTCATGATTGTGGCGTTTAGCAAACAAACATAATGTTGGTGATGCTGACTGAGCTGAAACAGGAAACGTTTAGTGAGAAAAAATATGAAAACTTCAGTTAGTTTGTAGGTTTAGATAAATAATAAAACGTATATGTTACAGCTACAACTAAAAAAAAAATGATTTCTTTCAACCAGAAACCGTCGGTGGTGCGTTAACCAACCAACACAGCTGCTGTCTGTGGCCTCCAGGTGAGGCTCCATCAGCTGACCTGCTGGAGGGCCTCATACAGGCAGCACATAGAGGATGACGTCATGTCATAGATGCTGATCAAACCTGTTGAACTACCATCATTCATGCATCTTTTCCTCAAAACAAACATCTTCTTTTCCCTCCCTGTTTTAACTCCAGTCCTTGTGAAACACTGAGGCCGTCATGTTTTGCACTGAAATGGTTTTTTGTCGTCAGAAGGTGCACGTGCACGTTTGTATTGAGACCCGTGAGCTCGTGAGCAGACGCTGATCCTGCACTGACGTCTGCTGGTGCTCAGCCCGAACTGCACCACAAACACTAAAGGATCAGTTCGCCCCATTTCAAAGTACTCGAGTACTGCGCTGAAGCACAACTTCAGGGTTCTTGTACTTTGCTGAAGTATTTCCTTTTGAAGCAGCTTTGAACTTTTCCTCCTCCACCTGTCACACATCACATGTTTCTCTTTTTCCTCCGTTACAGCAGTGACTGAGCAGAACACCATTTCTCATCAGATGTGGGCTGCATGGTGGCTCAGTGGTTAGCACCGTCGCCTCACAGCTAGAAGGTCGCCCGGGATCTTCCTGCGTGGAGTCTCCATGTTCTCCCCGTGCAGCGTGGGTTCTCTCCGGGTTCTCC